CCCCCTAACGGTGGGAAGACTGTCTCATTGAAGTGACAACCCACAAATGAGCGGTAAAGATATCACATGCAAGGGCTCTAAGAGAGCTAGTATAAAGGAGAATGATAATCGACAAAGTTTCACATCCTTTTGTTTTTAGTACCCAAGTTGGTACGTTATGGTGGCGCAACTTGGCACATGGAATGCACACCCAAATGCATAAATATGAAAAACATCAGGTTGGTATTAGGTGGCAATGGGCCTCAAGGTGGACCAACATAGCTAGGTACAAGATTACATAGCCCTCAGTCGAAACCAAAAACTTGGTGCGTTCACCAAGGTCCGGGCGATCAATTAAATTGCACTTTATGATCGCTCTGCGAGGTTGTTTTTACGGTGAACATGGGAATTCGATGTCCAATTATAAACCCAAGAGACATGCAATACTTTATCGAAAACTGTCGATATAAACTCTCTAACATTATCCAGTCTCTCGGACTTTATGGGATAAGTAGGGTGGTGAACCCTTAATCAGCCAGAAGGTTTAGCAGCAATGTGTGTGGAAAAACATGTGACCAGTTTGTCAATTCATTAGCCAAAACCATAAGTATTTATATGGTCCACATTTTGGTTGGATTGGTCCATATATATTCCCTTGAATCCACTGTGAAAAAGGGTGATTTCGTATCTTTGCAAGGAATGATATAGAAAATCAATTTCCCTAATGAGCAGGCTTGGCATAGTGTGCTTGTAGGCACAAAATCCTTACTTCAGGTAAGGAGATGCATTGTAACATCATTGTTTAACCTAAGTGTCCCACAAGGTCGTGCCAAAGCAAGTAAACTGCTTGAATTACCAGGCTCCAAGTCGGCAATATGTAACGTGTTCCCAGTTGGAAGGGAGCCCATTGGCCCCAAATCAAAGCTTCATGCTTATTTTTAGAGGTGGTGCAAAGGTATGCAACTCTATTTTCTTCAGTGATTTCATTCATGATCATTGTCATCTAGAATATCTTTTAAAACTCAACGACAAGGAGAATTTAAGGTCCATTAAATGGTAATTCAATACCATTCATACAACGAAGAGCTTGCCAATGCTCTTAATCAGGTTGGATAAACCTGAAGTTGTTGTTAGAGATGTGATTTAGGTGTAAAGTTAGTGTGTGTATTATCACATTCATGCAAACAACTAACTTCCCCACATTCATACCCAATCATGTGTTTAATTGAATTTGGTCACATGTATACAAGAATTAACTTATATTTGAGGACAATATCAATAAAATTATCCATAAGTAAAACAAACACCAAACATGAATCTAAGAACATAGAAAAATGTTCACAAAGTAAATGGTTTATTAAGGGGATTCGGCCAACAAGGCTATCCATGTCAAAATTCTGCTTTTCCAACGGTGTTCAGTAGAGCAAAATTAGTCTCACATATTGACTATGAGAATGGTACTCCTCAACGACATTGGTAGAGGCATGAATAGGTGCATAACCAATGATCTATTCCATCGAGACGGAAGTAGATTCTGCAGGGTTGAGGTTCGAGAATAATATTACCTTGGCAGGCCTTGATTCTACCAAATGTTGTAAAAACAAACTCGAAATTAGATCGTGAAAGAGACAACCCCGAACTTGGGTTCGGTAGGTTCCAACCGAAACTGAAGGGGTTTGTTTGGTAGGCCTCTGCCAAAGCAAATTAGTACCGTTCGGTGCACCTTTATTGAAGCAGAGCATGCCTTTACGTGCATTCGTGCCCAAGCAGAGTATCACCGTTCAGTAGTTTTTAATCAAACTGGGTTGAGCCATTTCGGTAAACTCTAACCGAACTGAGTCTATACCATTTTCTCACGTTTGTGGTAGTAATTAGATCTGAGAATTTGGTAAACTTCCACTTTCTACACTACTGCTTTAGGAGCGAGTTGGAAACATAGAAGGACGAGAACAGTCAAAATTTGTTCAGATTTATAAACTTCAGAATTGTACTCATTCATGGATGTAATCATGGTGTGCTTCAGACAATGTCTTTCATGATTAAACCGTCCGTAGTAGCGAGCCAAAAAGCCATGGAATCTTCGTTCATGAGGTACTTCCATTTATAATGCTTCAGGCATAAGTCTTCGAATGAAGATCATGGCGAAGGCTTATTCAGCTCTTCCTTGCCATTATTGGCTTCAATGGTTTCTCAGCTTCTTGATAGTCAAGTGGAGATTCATATCTTGTACCCCACATAAAGTGGTTTCTATTAGAAACATCCAAATAAGGGAAATTGAACTTGTAACATTGAATTGGAGGGAATAAGATTGTGATTGGTGCTATGGGAATGAATCATCCATAAGCATCAATGGTAGAACATTCGAGTTCTAAGACATGGTTTTCATGAAACTACGTCGGGTTTTCATGGGTGTATTTGTTTTATGAAAACTTTGGGTTTCAAAGGCACTAAATTTGAAACTGCAGGTTCAACTTAGTTTATGAACGTTTAGTTCATAAAAGAGAGGTTCTTGTAAGAACACAGAACGCAATATGTTGATTTAAGTGTAGTGGATTTAAGTTGTTTCAGGAACTCAAGTGTGAGCTCTTCAGGACTACGAAAGGATGTCAACGGTTCAAAGAAGAGAAATAAATTATTGAATCGATAATGTCCAAAAGTGATCTTCAAGTCAATAATTTTGGATTTCTTGTCAGATTAATGGACTGTAGGTCAATTTTAATTAATTTAATAAATCGGGACTAAACGGGGTCAATCGTAGAAGCAAAAAATAATTATAACATTTGGGTTAAAATTATTTAGAATGACAAAAATTAGCATTAGGTTGAAAAAGTATAGCCCAAAAAGGTTTGGGCTTGGGTGCCGTGAGTTGGGCAGAGCCCTCAAGGCATTTTGGGCTCGAGTTGCTTGCAGGCCACAGGCCGAGGGTTTTTAAGCCTAGCAATAAGTTGCTGGCATATGTCGGCCGAGACCATAGCGGGAGCAAGCCCACCCGAGGCTAGCTTGCGGGTTGGGTTACGTGAGGCCCAGCCAGAGTTGGGGCCGTGTTTATTGGGTCGTGGGACAAGCCCAGCCACATGGGCTGGCATATAGAATCACAGGGCATGGTAGATGCAAAGCCCAACAAGCACAAAGCTTGCTGGCAGATTGGGCTAAGATCATAAGGACATGCTAGGAAGTTTATGGGCTTCCTTAGGGAACATGCCTGGCTTCGGGCCCATACAAGTCAACCAGGCCGAAGGCCTAGGGGGTGTCCATGTGGTTGTAGCAAGGCCCAGATGGTTGCTGCTATGGTGGTGCCATGGTGGAGGTGCGGCAATGGTGCACCAGTGCCCATAATTTGTTTTTTTTTTTTCGACGTACTTAGGGTTTGACAAACCCTAAATTGCTTCTAAGTTCTTTTGATTGTTTGACTCACAAATTCCACATAGCAAAAATTGTGTAATGCATGAAACGTGTGTGTGTGTGTGTGTGTGTATTGTGGTAAATATATGAACATATACAATATATATATATATATATATATATATATATATCGGAAGGTAAATTTAAATGTAGGGGTTCATGCATCATGGGAATGTTATCATGCTTCACGGTCGTTTCAAATATCTTACTTTATTTTAAGCGTACCTAATTGGCAGAAAACAATAAAAGCCTTTGAATTTGTAGAAGATCCTTCTCAGAAAGTCGGAATTGGATCTCCAATGCGTTGTATCACGTTCAACACAGAAACATTAAATTGAATCAATAGCATGTAGATCAATTCAATAAAATAATAAATTAATCATAAAAAGAATGATTAAAACGTAATACTCCCTTGATTGAAGATTAAACTCTCTTTAGCGCAACGTGAAGAGCATGTTGATAATGTGTTATAGGCATAATTTACTGAACAATTATGGAAGCTAGAGAGAGAGAGGGTGCGGCACAGAGAGAGAAAAGAAAGATGTGTAATTGTGAGTTGTGTTCCATTCCACCCCATTATGCCTTTATTTATAGTAGTAGGGAAGGTTAATTCCTTACCCTTTTGGGATTACAACTCTTAATAGGTAATCAACTCCTAATAAGATTATAAGAGATATTCCTAGATACACTAGAATTTACACAATCAAATTCTTATTCTAAATAGGACTGCAATAGATATTACTTTTTAAAATTTGAATACATATTGGGTATAAAATCAAGCTTATTCATGTTGAGTGGAATTAGAGACATCAGACTTATTTCATTAAAGTTGACTATCTCACAAAACAAGATTTATATTTCGTTCTCTTATTTAATGTAACTAGCAAGGTGTGGAGATATTTCAATGTACTCGAATCACGAGCTAGTACACTGCTTGTCAAAGTACCTGTGGAGAAACACTGAAAAATATATCTTTGGCACGTAATATACCAACTTGTATTCTTGTTTAGAATGCTCCAAATTCCATCCGGGTCTAATACTACCAGAACTTACATGGTCGGGTTTACCGACTCATATGTGCTAGATAACTTTTTTGGAGCCAACTTAGAATCCTTTTTGTCCAACTCTTTTGAAGACAACATGGTTCTTTTTGGTTCAACTTTTCAGAAAAGGGATCTTCCTCCTAATCCACCAAATCAGAGAATTTGTGCCATTGAAAATTGATTTAACGGCTGAAGTTATTATAATTTTTAAAGTGGGCCCCTGTTTGTAGCCAAATTTCAACGGCACGAATCCCCTGATTTGGTGGATTAAGAGGAAGGGATCCGAAGAGGATCCCTTTCTAAATTTTCAGAGCCAACATGGCTTTTTTTGTCCACTCATTAGAAGTCATCCTTTTAGAGTCATATTTTTAAGGGTAAATTACATAAAACTACCTCAACTATTAGGTCAGTTACAGTTTCATACCCCATCTTTAAAAAATGTCAATGTTATACCTCATCTTACGAATTTGTTACAATTTCATACTTCCGTCAGTTTGTCTGTCAATTCTTCTGTTAAATAGTGCCATGGCTTGAGACGGGGCCCACTCCCTATTAAAAAATTAATAAAATATTAAAAAGAAAAATTTACCCTTAAAAAAAAAAAAAACCCCATTCAAAACGACCCCAAACCCAGATCCCACCCATACCAACATCTCCCCCCCAAACCCACCTCATCACTCTCTGCCGTTGCCGCTGCCACGTCATCCTCATCCTCTTCTTATCCAACCCCCAAACCCTAATTGCACCCTTCTCTACAAGAACTCGTTGTCGGCCACCCTTGACCTCCTTATCCTTATTCTCGTCCTCTTCTCCGGGACCTTCCTCATCACCTTTTACTTTTCCTACATCTTCAACTCCATCTCGCTCATCTCTCACTCCACCCTCCACCTCCACCACATTCCCGTCCCCTACATCGTCGCCGTCTTCGCCGCCACGCTGTTCGTAGTCGAGTTCTGCTGCGTCAGCGAGGGCAATCTTGATTACGAGTGCCTCAGGATTGAGCTTAGGCGGATGGGGTTGATGAATGGCCATGTTGTACTGCTATTTCAGTTGCGATACAGACGGGCCTGGTGGCCAAGCTCGAAGGCTTAGGGGTTGGATAGGAGGAGGATAAGGATGACATGGTAGAGAAGGATGAGGGTGTTACTTTCCCAATGCACTAGTTATCTCTTTACCAATTTCTATTTTTCTATATGGTATCAGAAATTGCATGACCAACGTGCATTCATAACTTAATTGAATCAATTTATGACTAATGCTAAAGATGCTAAATTTGTAGATAAAATTTACAAATTAAATGACATGTCACTAATAGGAATGAACACGTTTATCAACGCTTAAACAATAATCCAATCATCAACTTCCATTTCATTTAGTTGACAACATTTTGTCTACAAATTTAGTCTTGTTAGCATTATCCTACATTTATTTAAGCCTACCATTCCTTTTCTAAAACTAAGAAACAGGGAAAACGGATTGATACTACATTGACGACCCAACCACCCGCACCACTGATGGCGATGCCAAACCCAGAAGCCAAAAAAGCTCTCTCTCTCTCTCTTTATTGTAGATTAAACTAGTGATATCCCTTGTGATAGAATATACATATATATACAAAGTTCTAAAAAATGCTAGGCGCTAGTCGAGTGAAGGGCTGGAACCTAGCGCCTAGTCGGCTAGGCGGGACTTAGGGGGTCTAGGCGGATTTAAATAAATTTATTATACATCGTACAAATAAGTTCTTATTTATACTTAAAAATGATATATATTGTATTGGGAGACATATAAACTGCAAAATAAAGTGAATTATATATTATAAATTATTAAAATATATTGAGAACATGGGGAACAACATATAATGAGTGTTCATTCGAGTATTTAACAAGTCCCTTACATTTTATTGAAAAAATAAAATGCAAAAACAAAAGTTATCAGTTTTCTGTATAAAGAGATTCACAACCTGGGCGAATGCCTAGGCAGGTCTAGATGGTCTAAGCGGACGCTTGGGCGGGCTAGGCAAACACTTAAGTAGGTTTATGCCCCATTTTTAATTTTCAAATGCTTAGATATTAATCGGAGCGATGGCCCCTGCCTAGGCCTAGGCTGGATTTGTAGAACGGTGTGTAAATATATATATCCACAAATTCAAGAGAATTAAAAATCACTTAGGGATATATATCAAATAATTGGCCCGATTACAACTAAAGCACTAAAGAAAATCAGTATAAGGCAGCAACTACAGAAACAAAACAATTAACTTAGGAGGACCTACTGAAGCTTACCCATTCAATTCTTCGGTCCTTTTTCTCTTTCGTTCTTCTTGAGACGACCCAAAATTGTTCCACATTTGATTAATCTTCGGTTTCATTATATTCTGAAAATCATTCACTACTGGTTCTGCATCCACTACGAAGTCAATGTAGGTCTTTATGCATAAACGTATCTTGGTTTCCATCTCATCTAGAATTTCTGGGAGTGCTTTCATCAACCATGTCAACACTTCGTTCGAAACTGGGACGCTCAAAGCAGCCTCCGTCTTTGAAATCACTAGAGAAAGTACTCTCAGAATTTCAGTAAGCGTTATTAGGCAGAAGCATTCATACAGCTCGGTTCCATAATTGTAACCTTCCATAGTAGCCAATCTTCCCCCCATTGCTCGCATCCTTCTCTTGTTAATTTTGACCAATTCGTGAAATGCTATTCTCAGGAGACCAGTGACTCTTTTGTTTACAGCACAACTCTCCCAATTGATTACGCTCTTTTGGACTGATAGCAAACGGCTGAACTCTTGGAACTTGTCTACCATCTCATCCGATCCTTGCGACATCAACAACATAATATCAACAACGCAGTGAGAGAGCCGTGTCCCAATCCTAAATATATGACTTCTAAATTTATATTTCCCATCATCCGATTTTGCGTGCGGTTGCGAACACTCTTTAAGCCACTGCACAAGACTCTTTCCTCCTCCCTTGGAATTAATCCCGCAGCCAGCACTAGCCCTAGAAGACCCTTCCATATCTCTTCAATCTTGTTCTCCGGCACAAAAGAACGTCCAAAAGAAAATAAATAAAAGGAATTAACGTATATAAAAGGAAGTTCCGTAGGTTTAAAGTTGTGATGATTTAATGATTCTAGGAATTAAAGATGTTTCCTGAAATTAGTGAATCTTAGAAAGAATCATTCCCGTACCTTCTTCCTTCCTTCCTGCCTACGTTTTTCTTTCATCACCTCCCAAGTGGCATTATTTTTTATTTATTTTTAAATAAATGATATTATCTACGCTAAAGTTAGTGAGGTGGGAGAGTTGGCTAAGTCTACTAATAATGTGGTTTAAATTTGCCTATAACGAGAATCAAACTTAAAACTTCTTACTGTAAAGTGGACAAAGGTCTTAAGAGGCCTATTTAAATTTGATATTGGTATATTGGCTGGATTGGGTACGGGTGTTCTTTTAAAGGTCTGGTTCTCTTTCAATATATAGATGTGAACAAGCGGGATTTACTCGAAAGAATAGGAATCCGAGTCCTGATATATATAGTCCTGCACTTTCGCTTGCCTAATCCACTCATGACATTTATCAATTCCAATTTATTTCATAATATTTGTTTCCTGTGAAGAAAATTATATCAATCTTTACTAAAAAAACGAATAATACTAGATAAACCACATTTTTAAATTAGATTGATGTATCATCTCATGTGGCAAGTAATGCATACAACCAATTTCCAATCAGATATTTATAGGTAAGTTGGTCAAAAGCCAATAAAAATTTACTATTTAGCGTTATATCAATTTTATGTTTTTGTTTTGGACTTAATAAATGATATATTTATGTATCGCTCAATGATGAATGACACGTGAGCTTTAAATCATTATAAATAGTTATAACTTGACGCTTCTATCCTCCTCTCTCTTTCTCGCTTAGAATGTCACATGGGGTTAAACCAGTTGGAAAAACATATCCATCAATATCAGCCTAAGACCTCTTATTCTTGTAATGCATTCTTTTAAACAGATAACCAAACTGCAACATTCAACAAAGAAACATTGAATTGAAGCTTGATAATGAAATAAGACATCTCACCTTAAGGGGACGATGCTGTCATCATAATTAGCCAGTAACTTCAACCGAATATCATTCTGAAGCATCTATTCTGGAAAAACACTCCACTTTGCCGAATCCTACCAGAGTAATCTCGAATATTGGACCTCGTCCTTCAAAATTCATAATTTCATTATATTCATCTGCACCGTCTGTCACCAATTAGAGCCAAACACCCTTCCATTTCAAACCAGGAAATGGTTACTACAACGCAATGTTTGAATCTAAATGTAAAAAAAAAAAAAAAAAATCAGGAAAAAGACATGGCACTACAGTGTTTCAACCCAAATGTCAAAATGGACGCGTAAGAGGTGTGTAAGTGATGAAAAAAAAAAAAAACTAAGAAATTGACACTGCAATGCAGCATCTAAGTCCAAGAGTAAAACACAGAACCAGGAAATGGATACTGCAGTGCAGTGTCTGAGTCCGAACATAAAAACTAACACATAGGAGGCGTGTGAGTGATGGAAAAAACGAAACCAAGAAATGGACACTGCAACGTAGTGTCCAAATCCAAAAGTAAAAACAAAACCAGGAAATGGACATTGCATTGCATTGTCTAAATCTAAATGTAAAAACGAACACGTAAGAGGCGTATGAATGATGAAAAAAAAGAAACAAAGAACTGAACACTATAAAACAACGTCTAAATCCAAATGTAAAAAACATAATGAGAAAAGAACGTTGTTGAGATTTTAAAGTTATTTGAGAGGACAACGATTAAGTTGAAACCATTGAGAAAATTGAGTGGAATGTCACTGCATCACCTCCAGTGAATATGGTACGAAGCATATTTTGTAGACCATGGTTCAGCTCCCTGAATAGAGTGCACCATGTGGTCGGCCAAAGCCGTGCGATTCGAGCAGTTCTTTGCTTTGCTTTGATGCACTGTATACTGTATTCCACCCAAGGGCATCGTCTTACTTATATTAAGATTGTACATTCAAACGTACCATGCCAAACGTGCTTTTGGGAAAGTTGATTCTTATATCATGCCCCCACAAAGATGTGAAAGACTATTTTCTATAGTGGATTCAAGGGAATATGTGTGGACTAATCCAACAAAAAACCAAACCATATAAACATTATATTGGTTTTGGTTGATGTATCGACATAATGGTCATATGTCTATTGTCCACATACCAATGTTGCTAATCTCCTAGCACTAATTTTTAGGTTGCGAGCTCACTACCCCCAATTATCCCATAATGTATGAGGGACTAGGATAATGCAGAGTTTACATCAAAGAACTTTTCAATTATTATTTCATATCTTGTGGGATTGAAGTCAGATCTGTTGTTTCCCATGCTCACACCCAAACTACCTCGCAGAAGTGGTCATAAAATGCCCTTGATTAACGCACGGGCAATGTATATCACACCTTAGAATTTGCGCAGGGCTATGCAATCTAGGAGTAATGTTGGTCAATCTCAGGCCCATCGACATCCAATCCTTTTTTTTGTACTTATGGATTTGGGTGTGCGATTTATGTGCCACTTGTGCTGCTACAATAATATAGGTCTTCAAAACTCTTAGATCCGTTGCAAGGGATTTCTTTTCTCTATTTTGTGGATTGTCCTTTCGATGAGACAGTCTCCCCACTGTTAGGGGAAGGAAAGAACGTCAATGTTCGTAATGAACGATTTGAATTTGCATGGACATTGCCTACTATGCCTCATCTTTATCCTCGTATCACATAGTGTGATAAGCAGGTGCGACGCACTCTAAATTTCAGAATGTTGCTCTAGACGTATTTCTCTAGTCTAACTAAAGTGACAAGATCACAAACACCGGCTGCAAACATGCCTGTAAGGATTGACATGCCAAGAGGGCGTCAGAGCAGCGTGCCGGAAGGGCGTTCCGCCCCTACCTGTATTCCACCAGGGTTGTTTAGTCAATCAATTGTAACAAACAAAATAAAAAATTTATAATGCTTTTACCAATTTCGACCATCTATTTTATATTGTTCGTTAACCAAATGATCTATATTTTTTTTTATTTTCTTTGCCATCAACAATTCCAATTATATACATGAAGTTTCATAAATAGACGCAAGTTATTTTGAATGACTCCACGTCATCCTTGGGCTGGCAAGTTGATCCAAATAAAAAGTCCCAAAATTTGGAAGAATTTGCTCAAAAATTGAAAACTCCGTTTTCTCTCTGAAGTTCTGAACTCCCACGCCCGTCTGTCCCTCTCACTCTCTCAAAGCTCTGGCCTCTAAACCCCTACCCCCCGCCCTCCCTCTGTCTCTTTCATATCTTCCTCTCTCTCGGGCCCTGGCGCTTGATTCTCTTTCGCTCAAGGTACCTCTATTGGGATTTGGATTTTGGGTCTTTGTGTTTCTTTTCATCGACTCTTAATTTTTGGTGTGTGTGTGTGTTAGGTTTTCTGCTGGTCATAGGCGGCCATTGAGTTTCAGGTATGTTGTTTTTCTCAACAATTAGTGTTGGAGGAGTGGAATTGGGTGATGTATAGGCCATTTTTGTTTGTTTTTTTTATGGATTCTAACTTATTTATCATCAAAGCTGCGGGATGCTGCAAGTATTTTTGGGTCAGTTTTCATGGTTTGTTTGTTCTTTTGCTAGTTTAGGCGCTGATTGATGGTATCTATTAGTTCTGCAATCTGACATGGAAGTCCCATTCTCCTAGACCCAGTGCGGAGGATAAATACCTACCGTTGGATTAAAGATATTAGGGTGGGTGACCACAATTTCCTTAATCTGATAACAGGTAGTCATTTAACTTTTTGTTGTTGTACTTTATCCTCCGCCGTTGTATTAAGATTGAACGGTGAGTGGCCACAGTTTCCTTGTACCCTGGCCCTGGGGTCTAGGAGACAGTGGACATAGCTCTACCTGTCCACCCGAACATAAGCTGCATAGTCTTGCTTAGACGATTAGTAACGTGTGCAGACCTGTGCATAGTTATTGGCTTTCGTTCTTCAATTCCTTTTTTAGGAGGGGCACTGGGATATGTTTTTAGGTAAACCTAGAAACCTTAAAGCTGTGTTAGTTGCTAATATATGCCGGTTCATTATGGAATATTATAGCGATTAGCTTCGGCCAGAGGATTTTGCTGTATGCTTATTTTCTATCTAATTCCCATTCATCTTTAATGACAATTAATTTGAGTGGTTTAGTATGTTGATGTTTTGCCCAGCAAAAGCTTTTACTTTTGTAATCTGGCTATAGAAGCTTTCAAGATCTCTGTCACTATGTAAGGTTTTTAGTATTCATGGTTGTGCTTTCGTGTGGATTAAAAATCGTATGATGTGCTATGTGGAATATGTATAAATGCATTGTATTGATTTATTTCTCGTAACTGGGGCTTGCTTGAGTATATTTTGATTGCTTCGAATTTTGTTCTTTTAATGTCTGTAGTCTCTCAGGAGCTCCATCTACCTACTTTCTTAGGATTTTTTTTTCTTTCTTTTGTTTTTTCAGGTTTATGGGTTAAGGTTAGAGTTTGTACTTGTGCTGAAAGCAGTTAAACACAGTTTTCCTTTTGCTAGATACTGAAGGTGAAAGAAAATTAAAGATCAGTTGATGGAAAACCCTAATTTCCCAACTGATATCATGCTCGACATTCTTTCAAGGCTACCAGTGAAGTCATTGTGCCGCTTCAGGTGTGTATCAAAGTCATGGCGTTCTCTAGTCACCGACCCTGATTTTGTTAAAATTCACCTTAACAAAGCTTTTGAGAATGTGGAGATTTTCCATCAAAGGCGAAGGCTTATGTTTAGTGATGGGTCACATAGGTCACTCTACTCCTTGGACCTCGATGAGTTTCTCAACCATAACAATGCAGTTCATAATTATCTTGATGAAAAAGAGAATGACAATGATATTAATACCAACGATGATGATGATGAAGCAGTGGCTACTGAGCTCGACTACATTTATAGTGAAATCCCAAATAATTGGGTTTTCATGGTGTTACACTGCAATGGTTTGTTGCTGTGCCAGTTATATAACTGGGAGTTGTATCTGGTTAACCCAGCAACAAGGAAATCGAAGAAACTACCAGATATTCCATCTTCTAGCATTGCGTATTATTATTTTGATCTCTTTGGTCTTGGATTTGATCACTCCACTGATGATTACAAGGTGGTTGATTTGCGATACTTGAAGGGTGGAATTATGTTTATGGTGTACACGCTGAAAACTGGTTCTTGGCGGGAGATTCAAAGGCAATATCCTTACAAATCTGATCTCATGTTACATGGGATCCTGGTCAGTGGAGGCCTTCATTGGCTGGTGAACAGAGTTCGAGGTTCATCAGTGATTATATCTTTTGATTTAGCAGAGGAGCATGTTCAAGAAATCCCATTGCCATGTGATTTGGTTGACGCTAAAGGTTATATTGTCGGAGTATTTAGACAGATGCTGTGCATAACACGTTGTGATGGGCAAACACACAATGAGTTTTGGATCATGAAAGAATATGGAGTGAGGGAGTCTTGGACTAAAGTAAGAATCTCCATGCCATATTCTTTGTTGTTACATTCAGGTTTCGAGAGGAAAAATCATGATCTTTTGGTGTTCAAGGACCGGTTGTTTATGCACAATTTTAACGGTGAAAGATTTCGGAAATTATCAGTGTCCGGATTCCCCATAGTTACTGAAGTTGGGATCTACCTGGAGAGCCTTGTTTCGCCGAATTCTTGTAGAGGAGGATGTTAGAACTTAGAAGATGAACTCACTCCATTAGTCCATATCACTTTCATGTATGTATCTATTTGAGTACTTTCTCTCTCTCGCCAATTGTTTTTGTAATTTCCCTTTGAGATTCTTCCATGTTTATTAAACGACTCCATAGTATATACTCTGTTATTTTTATAATTTTTTTCAATCAAATGCACATGAGCATCTGGTCTCTGCAGTCACAAGGCAGGTCTTACATCGCATAGCTAGGGCATAACATTCTGAAAGGAAATTTGTCTTACATCGAATAGCTAAGCCATGGTCCTGCTCCTCAATTTGAATCTCGGCCTCCAGTTTTGTGGTCTGATCAATGCCAAGGTCTCTAAACAAATGTAGGTTGACTTGGCTCCGTATGAGTTCCTCCAGATGCTTTGTGATTGATTCACGAAACTTCGTGGTCATGGTTGGAACTACTCATATCGTAAGTTACTTTGTAAAGATCATTTTTGTTAAAAAATCAATAAAATATGAGATCATGTAGTCATTAAACCGTATAAAAAAAAGATGGTTGGATATGATAAAAGCATTATGAACAGTCTGTCTATTTGCCCAACTTGATTGACTAAACATCCTTAATTTTAAAAGATTTTTTTGTATAATTAATCTTTACGTAATAAATTATTATATAAACAATTTCGATCATAAATACAAACTGTTTTGAATTGATCACAAATATCTTGTTTCTCCTTAATCTTAAGGAGTTAAGCATTCCTCATACATATATACATGTCTTCTTTCAGTAAACAAAATTCACACCCACCAAATCTACAATAATCAAGCATCCCCATCCTCTTCAAAATATGCATTGTTCATGCACACTAATGGCAGAAAGTCAAAAGTCAAAGATATGACATTTGAAAATTATTCTAAAATTACAAAAGACTTGTAGCTCAAGCAATAAAGAGCATTTACATTTGCATAAGAAATTATGTGTTCCCAACTTTCCTAGGGGTTTTGCACTGAACATGCAGAATTTGCCTTAGAGCATCTCCAAATGCCTAATAAAATGGGATGAAGGTCTTGGTGCGGCCACCGTTGGTGGTGGGCCCCCCGTGTTGCGTGAGAGGGGAGTGAGACACATTGATGTTGGGTGAACATGATAAATCACGAACAGTGAGGTAAGGATGATTTTGTGCGAGTGGGTCATATATCCAACTAGTTGGTTCCCATATGGAATAGAAAAGGAATACTCTTCGGATCTCTTCCATCAAGTCCACCAATATTACAAATTTAGGTTTTTAAATTTGATCCAACAGGTACAAACATGAATTTATTTTAAAAGTTAAAAATAACTTTTATCATTAGATCAAATTTCAAAAGTCTGAATTTGTGACCTTGGTAGACTTGATGGAAGGGATCCAGAGAGGATCCCTTTCCTATAGAATAATTTCTCGTTCACAAGACTATTTTGCCAAGTTAAAAGTAGTTAGGCAATCGTCACTCAGTACTACGGTCTAATAGTATTCCTTTTCACTTGGAAGTGAGAGGTTTTAGATTTGAATCTCGTGGATGACAAATTCGATATCAAATTAGGTTGCCCATTACGTGACTTAACCGAACTTCCTCTTATTTTAATGTAAAAATATCAATGTACTCAAAAAAAAAAAAAATTAGGCAATTTGGGGCCTACTAATATTTTTTATTTTTATTTAAGAAAAAAATAACATATTCCTCGACACACTTTACACTCCACCAATATTTTATTTTATTAAAAGTAAAATATTGATTGACATACTTTACACTCCTCCAGTATTTTATTAAATTAATAATGTTGAGTGTTGGAAAATGCAATCCCATGTCGAAAGCATGAGAAAATATATTATTACGAATAATATTAGTGAGACTAAATTTAGAGATTAAACTTGCAACTTCAATGATGCATCATCAATAGAAATGAACACGTTTATCAACGTTTAAATAATAAATCAATCATCAACTTCTATGTTTTCAAAATTTAGTCTTTTTAGTATTACTCATATTACTACTCATAAATGAAGAGTAATGCTAGGTAAATAAATTTTTTAGATCATATTTACAAACTATATGATATGTCACCAATACGAAATAAGCATGTTAATCAACACTTCAGTAATAATTCAATCACCAACGCCCACGTCATATGGTTTAAATAGATGTCTTCTTAATACCGAGATCTTACGTGATAAAATTCAACATCTATCACATTGTTTATGAGTTAAATTAAGACAATATCAACATATATTGCATTGTATATGAGTTTAAGTTAGGACAACATCAATGTGGCATTCTAAAATCTTAAAATAGACTACTCAAAATACCGCATGAGTTTACGGTTCTGCCTCAAACAATTGTCTAATCCCTTGAAGATGCTCTTTGAAGATGCGAATGTGTAGTGGGACCCAATTTAGTAGGAGGTACCATGCATTTTCCATGGAATCGGTCAGTTGGATTCCTATGTCGAAGTCGTCTTGAACAAGTCTAGTGGTTTGAACATTGACTAACTACTAGGATGCCCAGCAGGAAATCGAAGAAGCATATTTTTTATTACTTAGCTTTGACTTTCTTTCCGACGTGTTGCATGCCTTTTACATTCAATTTCTCGGATTTTACTTCAATGATTTAAGGTTATTCTGAAAATGAACGATTGTTATAATAATAAAACACCCGTAAAATTGATGTGGACTGTTGAATCTAATACCCCAACTTGTCAAAGATTGAATTTCAATTGCCATCACCATACTCTTTGCTCTGTGATCTAAGCCGAGGTGCGCTAACAGCTCTTTTGCAATTCACAACTTGACTCTCCTCGCATTCGATTGCTCTCTTGCAGTCAGTTTGTGGCAGCAACCTTTCTGCTTCAATCACCTCTAGTTTTCATATCAAAAAATCCAACAGCAAGACATACACTAAGAAGAAGAACAAATGAAAAGAAACATCTATTGCGAAAGAATATGACCAACAACCAGCTTCATGCATAACCAACAGAGATAAGGTATGTCATGCAACCAACTGCCTTGATTTCATTTCTTCTGTTACTTTTTATTGCGAAAGAGAAGTCTACCTGTTTATAATTTGGTATGTATTCAACAGACGTTTATAAAACCAGTACCAGAAGCAAACGGTGAAAATAGGAACCAGATAAATTAGTCTGCTGACAGAAGCATGGAGTTTCTTTCTGCAGCTGTTTCTGGGATTGTCGGGAAAGTATTGGAGCTCACAGTTCAACCAGTTGGACGGCAAGCGGGCTATATATTTCACCACAAAATAAACCTTAAAAATCTGGAGAGTCAATTGGACAACCTAGGTGCTTCCAGAAACCGGGTGCAGCATACAGTCAATGAAGTTAAAAGGAAGGGTAGGAATGTGGATATTGACGTCGAGAAGTGGCTGATAAGAGTGGACGAAATTACTGGAGAGGCAAAAGAATTGTTGAAAGATGAACAACAAGCAAAGGCAAGGTGTCTCCATGGATGGTGCCCTAATCTGTTTCTCCGTTATCAGCTAAGCAAGAAATCGAAAAAAATGGTGAAGGGGGTTCTCCAACTCCATGCAAATAAAGAATTTCCCAGATTTTTTTTCAAGGCTCCCCCTCAGGAGATATGGAGCATACCCACCGAAGAGTACGAGGCCTTTGAATCAAGGGCCTCTACCGTGAAGAAAATCATGGAGGAACTGAGGAATCCTAATACCAACATGATTGGGGTGTATGGGATTGGTGGCGTGGGGAAGACCACACTCATCAAAGAAGTTTTCAGGCAGGCTACTAAAGAGGAGTTATTTGATGATGTGGTTCTTGTACTAGATGTCAAACAGAATACGGACCTGGAAAGAATTCAGAAAGAAATTGCCGAGAAGCTTGGTCTTGATGTTCTTGAAAATCAGACCATAGCTGGAAGAGCGCGGATTCTATGCGACAGGTTAAGAGACACGGAGATTCTTGTGATTTTAGATGATGTCTGGGAAAGAATTGATCTGGAGGCTTTGGGACTTCCCCGGAGGGTATGCAAAATATTGTTGACATGTAGAAGTCGAGAAATACTATCCTCTGAGATGCGTACGCAAAAGGAGTTCGGGCTTCATGTTTTAGGCGAAGAAGAAACTTGGAGCTTATTTGAAAAGATGGCAGGTGATGCTGTTAAAGATCCCGCTATAAGAACTGTGGCAACTGAAGTTGCCCAAAAATGTGGAGGTTTGCCAGTTTTAGTTGTCACAGTTGCAAGCGCTTTGAGAAATAGAAGGACTTTACATGCATGGAAAGATGCCTTAAGACGCTTAAAAAGGTTTGGCAAGGAAGAATTGACAGAAAAAGTATACTCGGCTCTAGGGTGGAGTTACGATCAATTGGGTGATGAGGAGCTCAAGCCTTTGTTCTTACTCTGTGGAATTACTGGGAGAAACTATATTTTTCTTGGAGACTTGCTGAAATATGCTATCGGTTTGGGGTTGTTTAAGAACATCAATACGGTGGAAGAAGCACGAAATGCATTGCATTCACTGGTGGAAAAGCTTAAGAATGCTTGTCTGTTGTTAGACGGTTATGATAATACATCTGTCAGAATGCATGACCTTGTACGAGATGTTGCTATCTCGATTGCATTTAGAGATAAACACATCTTATCAGCAGCTTATGGAGATGAGTTGAAAGAATGGCCAGATGAGGGTTTCTTAAAAAATTGCAGGATGATCTCTTTCCCTTGTTGCAATATCCCTACACTTCCTGAAGCTCTGAAATGTGGAGAACTAAAAATGTTCTTTTTGTGGAGTAATGATGACTCGTTTGAAATTCCGGAGAGATTTTTTGAAGAGGTGAAAGAACTTAAGGTGTTGGATTTAACCAATCTGCGGATTCCATCACTACCTCCATCTCTTCAGTTCCTAACAAGTCTTCAAACATTATGTTTAGATCTATGCGTGCTGGGAGACATAGCTCTACTCGGACAGTTAAGGAACTTAGAGATTCTTAGCCTTTTGGAATCTCAAGTTAAACAGCTGCCAAAAGAAATAGGGCAGTTGAGTCGTCTACGATTGCTGGACTTGAGCGGTTGCTCTGAAATTGAAGTGATTTCACCCGGTGTTATATCTAGCCTGGAAAGACTAGAAGACTTGAGAATGGGAAACAGCTTTAACCAATGGGAGGA